ACTAAAAAACATAAAAAAGCATAAAATACATAAAAAAACTAAAAACATTCAAGATGAAGGGGGGGGGCAGAATCAATTACCCCACAAGCCATTTCTACCGATGCGAGCCCCCATTGATTCATTCTCATTTTCTCTCTCTCTGTATTGAAAATCCATTAAGGAGGAGCAAGGCAGAAGAGGATTGCAATCTCTTTTGAGGGGAGGAAATGAAAGCCCGGTACAGACTGGCAGGATGTACAATGCCCTTCTTTTTCCTTTTTTCTTTCTGCCATGTGTGGGCAGCTGCTAGGTCATTAGCTGACTGGTGAATGCAAGCAATGTCTGATCTATGATCTTGTTGCCTTAAAAAAAAACTTGGCTGAAGTTTTCTCTAGTCCTGCCCATATGCTGGCACTCAGTTTGAAAACAACTATTTAATCCTTTTTGCAATTGCGCTGCTTCAAAAACCATGAACAAACCCTGGGCTCATGCTACAAAGAGCCTGCTAAAACAGTGGTGAGAACCACCTTTTAAAAATGTCAGAACAAGAGTCAATGGGGCAACCTGGTTATGCTGAGCCCCCCTCCTTTTGAAGGCAGATCGATCTCATAAGGTATAAACAATATCGAACTTCATTTTAAAAAAAGGCAAAGAGAAAGGGTAGCAATCCTTTTTAACTATCAGCAGTCATGTGCAAAACATTTAATGGTGAAGATAAAAATAGAGAGCTGTTAAAATTACAGACAGCATCCTCAAAGATCTCCAGTAGAAAAAGATACAGGAAAAGATTAAGTTCTGGCAGACCACAAGATAATGCTGGTTTGCCCCTAGTAAGAGCCAACTCTGAGTATGGAGGTTCCAAGTTATATTCCCATGAAGGAAGGCTTAGCCCACAGTGTGGAGAAAAGAGCTATAGCCCAAAGAAGACAAAGCTATGCTGAATCAGACTGACGTCTTATCCAAAAGAGGTCCCATTGGGAAGGGCACACAGGACAGGCATTGGGTGGGAGACTCTTCTTCTTCTTCCACTCAAAAACTGGAATTGTCTCCAATGGTAGAGATTCCCAATCAGCCATCTTGGCTCATAACCATCAATATTCCCCCCAATTTCCCTAATCCTTTCAGAAGGAAGGAAGCCACCTGAGCTGGTGGCGATTCTACTCTTAATCTATGTGCACCCTGAATCACCCACCACCCTACTTCATTGTATGATTCCAGCTTCAATTATTAAAAGATAGGTCCTTTTCATTCTTGCTCACAAGGCCAGCCTTGCACTAGTGTGCAAAACAGGGTGCGCTGTGGAGAGAGGAGAGGGAGAAAGAGGTGTATGCTATCCCCTCTCTCTTAGAAGACCTCTATCAAGCATTGGCACTGTTCACACAACGCTTTTATCCAGGTCAGTGAGAGACCTGGAGGCTGCATTCATCTAACAAGCGAAGCTTGGTCAGTTTTATGGCTCAGCACGTTAAGAGGGAGAGCCAGTTTGGGGTAATAGTTAAGGCACTGGGCTGGAAACCAGGAGATTGCGAGTTCTAGTCCTGCCTTAGGCACGAAGCCGGCTAGGTGGCCTTGGGCCAGTCCCTCTCTCTCAGACCTAGGAAGAAGCAGGCCAGGGCAAACCCCTGCTGAAAAACCTTGCCAAGAAAACTGCAGGAACTTGTCCAGGCGGTCATCAGCAGCCAAGACTGACTTGAAGGCATTACAAAAAAAAAACTTATAAGACCTCATCTCTGTTGGTTAATTAATTCTGTAACTAGGTGAAGGATGTTGAGTGAACTCAGCTAGTGATAGCTTTTCTCCAGTTTTTAAGACGGTGTTTCTCAACCTCAGTGACTTTAAGATGTGCGGACTCCAACTCCCAGAATTCCCCAGCCACCCATGCTGGCT